CTGTTATCCAAAGGCTCCGGGAAGGTCACCGGCTTGCGGTGGCAATCCAAGCCCTGCGGTCCAGAAGCCAGGCAGTCGTCTTCCATGGGGGGCTGCAGCTCCGGGCAGTTCGCCGGCTAGCGGCGGCATTCAGAGCCTCGTGCTCAAGAAGCCAGGCAGCCGTCCTCGTTCGTCCCACACAGCCAAGATCCTAACCGTTGTCTCTTTGTCCCTTTGTAGCCTCGTCATCCCCAGGCAGCGTTGCTGTGGGCACGAGATCGTCCACTTCGGCAAAGCCCTTTCGATATTATCGCCACATGGCGTCAGCAGTGCACAATGCGGTAGAAAGGAACTCGATCGGTTCTCACAAGCTTCGTCGACGGAGGAGAGAAAAAGCATATTCGGGGGGCATCAGGGAATAACCCTAATGACTAACATTTCACACACGTACGCCGTCTCTGAACGCGCAGAACCCCGACGTAGCGTTTCATCGCTTAAAAGCAACGTGTCTGCCACGTGTAAAACACGGTTCGCGTTACAGAACTGTGCTACTCTATTTCATTAATTTTCCAAAATGTGGTTATAAAAAAGTGCTATTACTTTTCACCTTCTTGAAAACGTCGCTGCCCAAGTGCGTAAAACACCCAAAACAAAAAAGTAATTTTATTAGAAACTACCGAGTACAGAAAACCATCTTCTCAAAACAGGTAACGGGCTAGCTAAACGGATTCCCATGGCGCAGGGATGGGCAGTCATACCTCGGCAAATTCATTCATGAACTCGCTCATTCACCTTTATTCGCATTCACGGCGTGAATCTGAATGGCTCTGAATGAATTCGTGAAGTGGAAAAAATCATGATGTGATGGTGAATGACTGCGAATTTGAATGAATTTGTAATGTGATAGTGAATGACTTCATGAATTTGAATGAATTCGTGATGTGATGGTGAATGAAGTCGTGATGTGATGGTGAATGAAGTCGTGAAGCCGTGATGTGATGGTAAGTGACTTCTCGAATTTGAATGAATTTTTGATGTGATGGCGAATGACTTTGTGAATTTGAATGAATTCATGATGTGATGTTGAATGAAGTCGTGATGTGATGGTGAATGACTTCGTGAATTTGAATGAACTCATGATCAGTTGTGATTGTGAATGACTTCGTGAATTGAATAGAATTCATTGTGATGTGAATGACTCAATGAATTTGTGACCTGATGGTGAATGGCTCGTGAACACGATGAATTTGTGATGTGAGTGGCTCGTGAACTTGATAATGATAAGTTTGTGATGGGAAGTAGTACCGTGAACTTAATTTTCGACGTGATAGCTAGTGAACACGGGTATGAATTCAGAATAAGCGTAAAACATGTTACGCAGGTGCTTGTTTGGTTGCTGCTTGTTTTCATCCTTCACCACAAACGACAGGGACCCATTCGACTTTTAGCGGTTTGGGCATCTGTCTCGCTGCGTGGCCGTGCGTGCCTCAGCGCGGTGCCCCTTTGCCGATCCACTTTCACAGTAACAGCTGTTTATAAGGGAAGTCCCTGAAGGCTGTCGCTGTGCCGTTTCGCTCGTGAGTCATGCATGGCGCAGCCGCACACAGTCCGCGGGCTGCGTCCACCCAGACCTGATGGCGTCGACAAAAGGGGAAGCGCGCGGTGGGGAAAGGATAGCGCCCCACCAAAATCCGCGGCTCGCGTGCGCCTCGGATTTTTCAAGCCTTCGCTCTTGAATTGTTGATATAAGCTCACCGCCCTCCTCGTGTTTCCAGACTACCCGGCACCATTGCAGCCTCTTCTGCTGATTTGTTGTTAGTTTTTTTCATCCTTGCTTTTGTTCTGGGTCTGAGAAAAGTGCGGCCGCGGTAGGTATAGTGGTGGCAATTTCAAAGGAGGAGGGAAGCAGGGGTGGCGGGCATTTGGTTTGACAGGCGGTGTCGATTTGATGGGTAACATTGAATGTCACCGTTGTCCTGAGCGGTTCCTCGCTAATCGGTGAGCTTCTTGCCGACCTTGTGCTTCAATCTTGGTGCAGATAGACATAATGATCTCTGCGGCGTTTGGCTTGCGCGCTACCCAGCGATTTAAAGTTGAAAATGGAAATTTTCAGTTTAAAAATGTTGTCGTACCTCTGAGTCTGACACTCGAGTGCATTTTCTGTACACGAAAATTATACACGCTGATGGGGTGTACCGTGTACTCAACGAAAGTTAATGTTAAAAAATAAATTCTCTGAAAATAAATTTTTGAGCAAAATATTTACCCCTTGAAAGTGTAGCAATGAAGGATATCCTCCACCCCCGCCCTCACCCCCACCTTGGCTTGGCTCGTTCCATGTTTGATTTTCAAGACATTAACTCGCATTCACGTGACACTCGTTTCAGGACACTAACTAACATTCACGTGACACGATCGCAGCGCGGCATTGGCTGGATTGGCGCTCTATCAATGTGTTTTGCGTTTCATACTCTCGAAATATCCCACTTTTCCGACGGAATGAGGTCCTGGTTTCAAGTGGCTGATACAAAAAGGAGCCACAGTCCTATTCCGCGAGAGTTGCGAACTCGTGAAGGGCTACCAGCCGTGAAGTCGAATTTAGTCAGAATGAACCTGAATGACTTCGTGAATTATGCGGAATTAATGATGTGATGGTTAATTCCGGTGAATTCGTGTTGACTGTGATGGTGAATGACTTCGTTAAGTGATAGTGAATTTGGACGAATTCATGATGTGATTTTGAATTCGGATGAATTCGGGACGGGAGAGCTTCGCCTGCTTGAGGTGAAGAAGAGGAACCGGAGGACCCTGCATGCCATCGTAGCAAGGAACGTCTACCCGGGAACCACTGCAGTCACGGACAAGTGGAAGGGCTACGACGGCCTGTGGACGGTTCACGATGAACTGGGGCACATGGTGCTCAACCATCTCACCGTGAATCACAGCGAGAACTTCGTGGACCCCGAAACCGGCGCTCACACCCAGAAGATTGAGTCCACCTGGACTGCCCTAGAACAAGACCTCCTCAAAAAAGGCAAGGGGACGAGCAAGACTCTGCTACCGTTGCATCTGACGTGGTACTGGTGGAATTCCATCAACGACCAAACCAGGTCCAGGGACCCCTTCTTCAGGCTTCTGGAAGCCATCCCATACAAAAATGGCCTATGGTCGTCTATGGAAAATTCTATGGCCGTATATCACCCCCTATGGCCCTCTATGGTCGGCCATAGAAATCCATAAGTGCACCTACAGCCAGTCTAAAGACTTGGAACCAATAAATTTTCTTTACCCACCCATAAAAAATTTTATGGTCCCAAGTTTAAAGACTGGGAACGAATAAAATTTCTTTACTTGCCTATAGAAAATTCGATGGCCCCAAGTCTAAAGACAGGGAACCAATAAATTTTCTTTACCCGCCTATAGAAAATTTTATGGCACCGTGCCTCAAGACATAAAACCACTAAATGCTCTTTAGCCTGCTATAGAAAATTGGATGTCTCCTAGACTATAGGCCTGAGACCATTCAACTTTCTTTAGCCAAACATAAATAAGTGGATGCCTCAAAAGCTATAGACCGGTGACCATTCAATTTTCCTTAGCCATCTGTAGAGAAGCTTGTCTCCAAGGCTAGAGACGTGCAACCATACGTCTTCCTTTAATCTAAAGAAAATTGTATGCTACCAAAGGTATAGACTTTCAAACAAAAGAATTCTTTAGCTGCCTACAGGAAGTTCGTCTCCAAATCTATAGACATGCGACCATTCAAGTTTCTTAAAAAGGGGTAGGTACTCCAGCGTTTTTTTCATGATCGCTGATTTGCCTCAAAATTGGCTCAGCACACCGATAGGCGAGGCTCTATGAGTTCCCGAAGTATTGTGTGAAAAGTAAAAAAATTCGCGAAGTTATTGAATTTTCGAATTTCGTTTTTATCGTGTTTCTCAAACCGGGAGTCTCTACTGGCAACATTGAAATGTGACAACAGAAATGGTACAAAGTGGGCAGTAAGCAGCATTAAGCCATTTTCCCAACTGATTACAAGACGTTTGATGGTGGGAAAAGAATGTTTGGTAACTGATTCACTGAGAAGCACGCAAAAAAACACTCGAAATACTCTGTTTAAGACTACATGCACGACCTGAAAGTCTGTACCATGTGTGACGTCACACAATCGAAGAGCGCGCGAAAATTTGAATGCTGGTTTCGGCATCATCTTCATTTACGGTTTTCTCAATTGCTATTTTGGATTTCGAGAAAATAAATAGCATACCGTGACGACTGAAGTCTAGGTTGCTCAAAAACGGCCGAAGTACCCCTTTAAGGCAACTAAAAAAAAATTTATGGTACTGTCGACCATGAAGATTCTTTGGCAGCATTAAGTTTTGCATGTTTGTACCATGAAGCTATAGCTATATAGTCGACAATAATAGTTTAATTAGCTGCTATTATGGTCCTTAGGGTGTCACTAAAGCTACACCAGCCATAGAAGCTGCTCGCATTTCGTATATAGACCTTCAATATTCCAAACGCTCCCAATAATGATTTGTTTACAAAAGCTATATACTCGACTGTAGAAGCTTGTTTAGCTAGCTGCTTTAAAGCGTATCACCGGAGCGATAAACTAACATCGTAAATGCTCAATTTGGCTCTAGAAAATCTCATTGGGTATATGTAGACCTTTCAACCATTTGGGTTCCCTTAGCCTCGAAAAGATCATTCGAAGTCAGTATTATGTCTCTCCCTATAGAAGCAAGATAATGAATCGTATTGAATGCAAGCAACAATGCACTTTTTTGCAAGCCCATTTGCGCATTCTTATGAGCATGTTAATTCATCCACCACCTAAAATAGCTGTGTGGTGACTAACCACTAAAAATTCTATTACAAATTTCACCTATATAAAGAGACTGGGGACTATAGTGGCATTTATTTATAGTTTATTGAACATTGACATAGAAACATTTGAGGAAAACTCAAGTTCATTCATACGGCATTAGATGTATGTTAGATAAGCGTATATAAAATGAGCTCAGTGACAAAGCGGACTTTCTAGCACCCGTGGAACAGGAGAGGGAGGGAGGGAGGGAGGAAGGGAGGGTGGGAAGGTGAGTGGGAGGGTGAGGTATGAAGTATAGGGTGTGTCAAAACAAGGTTTCGACTCTAAAATCACCCACAAAAATTAGGGATCGACTCAACGTATCAAGTAGAAATCTCGAGTACATACAGCTTTCACTGGTCGGATTTAGGCATTAAAATTTTAAGTATCACATCCAAGTATAAAATTTAAAAAAAACTAAAAAGGAAAATGCCCTATTCTTTTAAATGGGTTAGTTTTTTAATAGTTTTTTTCATCTCTAATAGACTTGAAATTTTAATGTGCAAAGGGGACTAGAAAAATATGTATTCGAGGCGAGTTGTATAAACAGGACTAGTAAAATACGTATTCGACGCCAGTTTCAACTTGATGCGTTGAGCTGTGGAAAGCCGTCAAAGCGAGCATCAGACAATGTTAAAAGCGAATTGGGTCGAGGCAAGGACAAAAACTGACATGCACAGATAGTCAAAGGCAAGCTAGTAACAAAATACAGGGAAACAGTACACTAGACTTAGTAGTCAATGTTCTTATACAGAGGGGAAGCATACATGTTATCATTTACAACGAATGCGACACATTTCTGACTGACACAGTGAACACCTACAATTCTGTAATGATCCTGGGCTTTAAGCACCTGCATGTGAGCAAATGTAGGAGTGAACTTTACGAGGCTTGCTCTTACATTTTGCAAGAAGAAATACACACTTTTGTTGCAGGCACAGCTTGAGAGCTGCTAAAGAATTTTCCACCTATGGCTCACTTTATCTGGCATGCTAGCTTTTTAGTTTACAGGGTTGTGTTCTGGTCTGCCATTTTGTATAAGGTAGATGTCCATATATTATGAATTTAAACAAAAGAAGCAATATTTATACAACCTTTATTCCCCGCTACTGAAATGCAGTGAATCTAGGGGAGGGACATATGGTTTGCTTGAAGCTTGTTGAGCATGGTTGACAGGGACGTCCTCACCGTCGACTCCTTGGTATACTTGTACTTGTTGCAAGTGTGTTCTGAAAATGCGCAGACGAAGATTGTACAAATTGCTAAATCTAAAAAACAAGCTTTCATCTGCATGCATGAATTAACAAAAATTTAAAATAATGCTGCATCAATTAAGAGTTCTCAGTTAATTGGTCCCATCAGCACATCATGGTAGCTCGATATCAATAATTCATACAGCAGATAATACGAGCACAATTGAACGGGACCTGCGTGTTGAGCTAACATGCAGTTCAACCCTTGTGTACTTCGACGAGAGCTCCCGGCAATTCGAATGCATCAAAATTTGTAACTGTTAACTTGAACAAGGTTGCTGCTGGTGTATCCTGAGTTTCACGCCCCTCATATGAACCAATGTTCAAAAGCAAGTTTAGCGTGGAGGAAACTTCCGATGGATAACTAATAGGGAAAACAATTAGAAAAAAACGAGCAGGCATGCGGGAGCCAAGTTGCTCCTGCATACCAAGAGGAAAAAAAAATCATAAAAAGAAATTTATCTGAAAATTCCACTAAGAAGATTATGCAAAGAATAGTTTTCACATATTCAAAGCTTGTGCTTAAAGGGACAATGACAGGCTGTTAATGCTCGCCAAGGTTTTTATTTGTACATCACACATGAGACCCCAACTACCCAGAACACTATTTGCGGCTCAAAATTTGTTTTCTTTCCGCCCTAATACCGCCGATCGAGAACTGGCCAGTTTGAGTCGCGCTCACTCTCTTCTCCGTGGTCCCGTGCAGTTCTCTATAGTTTAGACACACACACCAAATATAATCAGAACCATAGGCCATCGAAGGCACACGCTCAATATTAAAAATATAAAAATAGGATACCCAATTTTTTTGGCTTCTCAGAAACTGCAAATATGTTGACTGAAAAAAAAAAGTTGCACAGAAAACGAGGAAAAACAATGTGCATCCTCAGCATGGCATTGTATTGTGGGTAGGTTGAACGAAGCGAACTAAGCAATGGCGGCGGACGATGAGCGTGGGACCTCTACTTCAGAAGTGTTGTTCGCGGTACCAGCGAGTCTGTCTAGCGTCAAAAGAGAAATCGTTTACCACAGAAAAAAATTAGGATTTATTCCGTACGACACGCCCGACCACCAAGGTGATTCGCACAAAGACGTCGCCGAGTCGTCGTTTCTCCTGCCCGTCTTACGAACACGAATAGGTAGGTGCTTCAAAAACGCACAAACGTCAAGCACCCCGTGCTTGAATTTCGCGTTTTTCGTGCAACGAGCGAATTTCTCATCTGCCTCGCACAAACAGAAAAATGAAGGGGGCAAAAAGTAAAAAAAAAAAAGTAAAATGCAGTGGAGTTTTGCCACGTGACGCCCGGCAACGCTCTAATCCTCTACATTTCCTCTTCCTCCTCCAGTCCAGTCTCAGTTCCCGTTTCGAGCAGCTGTATTTTTTTTTTTTTACTTCAATTGAAGTATGTGTGACGCTGTAGCAAAGTATTGATTAAGTAGTCTTCTGAACCATATTAAATCGCATTGATAAACATATTAAAAATATTTTGGGTTGTGTCGTGTCTCTTTAAGGAAATAGTTTGCAGAAACCATTTCCATTTTTCATTCCTAAAACTGCAAAAGGAATACTCACTCACTACAGCGTTGACCCTGACTGGATCTAGCTGTGGTTTTGCGTCCTTGTCCTTCTGTGCATTTGACTGCTTCCCGGAGATGGACTTGCCCATTAGTTCTTCTTCCGGGAAAATCTGGCGGAGCAGCTCTCTGGCATATGATGTGGCGGTCTTTGTGGGGCCCAGCTCCACCATCTTCAGGAGCGATTTGCTCACCATGAAGCCCCCTATGTCTTCAGTTTCATCTTCAGGCTAGAAGAAACCAGAACGATTTCAGTTGTACTGCGAGTCCCAGTTTGTTCAGAAAAGGCTGTTGAGGGTTACTTCTATAATCAACAACGTTGACTACAGCCGACTATGTGTTGTAACGGAGATGCACTCTCCAAACAAGGTTTCTTATCTGAACCCAATGAAATGAAAGCTATAAGGCTGTGCATAAAAGGACTGGTAGATGGCAGTAGGCATTCCAAATTGAGCTAGCGGGTGCTTTCCAGTGCAGCCCAGATAAGAATGTTGAAATAAAGCTCACTTACATAAAAGTTAATTCTTTTGAAAGCAGCTAGCGTGCTCTCACAATGCAATCTCTGAACCCCAAAAATTGTACGGGCGTAACCTTTCTTTTTTTTTTTTAAATATGCCCTTCCTTCATTCTTTCCTCATAACAGCTATTTCCAATGTGAAAACAGGAGAAGCCCTTTTTCACAGTGTGCTACAGTGAAAATATTTTTTTCTTCTGTTTTACTACAATAAAAACTAGGATGACATCTTCGGCAACTCTGAGCATGAATGTCAGGCAAGGGTCACCAATACTGCCGATGACGTTACTTTTCCTATAGCATATTCGGCTGGTAGCTTTCCAGCGCTCAAATCCTCTGAATTGGATCTGCGAGATCTGGGAGTGCCTTGTTAAGAATGGAACCTTCGGCGACCTTCTTCCGAGTTTCAACGCTGCGGAAACGAGTCAAGACGAGTCCGGGACCGTCGCCCGCTTGTCGGGGCCTGCGCGAAACGAGTCCCGACGAGTCCGGGACCGTCGCCTGCGTGACGGGGCCTGCGGCAACAAGTCTCAACGCGCCCGTGACGTTAGCGGGACGTGTGTGTGTGCGTGGTGGTTGGTGCGCTCGGGAAAGGGAGAGAGGCATGGCCTAACTGCGGAGAACTTTGGCTACGTCGCACTGGACGGCGGACTTTGCTGCGTCGCACTTGACGGCGGGTTCCTGCATCGCACTGGCTGCCCTGGCAAGGAGTGAGGGAGAAACGGACCCTATATAAGGCGGAGCGCGAGGCTGCTCCGTTCTCTCTCGGATTTGACGACTGTATCGCTACCATGTAATTAAACCGTTCGTTACGTTACCAATTCTCCCACCTCCACTGGACCCCTGGGTTCTTCACTTCGGGGAATGGACGTCGTCTCGAGCCAGGAAGCTTCCGGACGTGCGGCCTAAACCCCGCCTCGAACAACTGGTTGGCAGCAGTTGGGATCGGACCATGCGACATCGTGCTACATCTGTGGGTGAGCGTTTGGACTTTGCTTTGAGATTCGCCAGGCTTCAGATTATGGGTAATTAATTTTGAACTGCTGGGAATCCTTAGTGTTTGACTCGTGCGCTAGGTTTTTGTACAACCTCGCGACAAGTTTTAGAACAAAGCCAAAGCTAAAAAGCAGCGATCATGGATCTAATGAGGTTACTGAGAACAGATTTACTCTGTTTATGTGAAGAATTGGGTGTGGAGGTGGAGCAAAAGATGAAGAAATCTGAGATCAGTAAAGCAATTTCAGACAGCGCGGAAGCAGAGGATATTAAAATTGCGTGGGAATTACTTCAGAACGCTAAAAGTGAGGCTGCAGCAAGAGAGGAACGAGCGCAGGCTGCAGCGAAAGAGGAACGAGAACAGGAGCAGGCTGCAGCAAGAGAGGAACGAGCGCAGGCTGCAGCGAAAGAGGAACGAGAACGGGAGCAGGCTGCAGCAAGAGAGGAACGAGCGCAGGCTGCAGCGAGAGAGGAACGAGCGCAGGCTGCAGCGGCAGAGGAACGAGCGCTAAAAAGGCTAGAGCTCGAAATTGAACAACAGCGATTAAACTCGCAGAACAGTAGAGTTGGGGCTCCGGTACGAGCAAGTGAGGCCGAGTCGTATCAAATGAAGAAGCTCCTGCAGCCGTTTAAAGTTGGGGAAGACGTGGGCCTATTCTTAGTTAACTTTGAGAGGACATGTGAGAAGTTGAGCTTCGCCCCAGAAACGTGGCCGCAACGGCTTTTGACTTTGTTGCCCTGTGAGGCTGCAGAGGTTGTCGCGCGCCTTAATACTAGAGACGCGGACGACTACGACAAGGTGAAGTCGAGCCTTTTGAAGCGGTATCGCCTTTCTGCCGAGGCGTTCCGTCAAAGGTTTAGAAACGCATTCAAAAAGAGCAGCGAGGGCTACTCGGAATTCGCGTACGGGCTTAAAACCAACTTGATAGAATGGTTGAAGAGCGAGGAAGTGTACGAAAGCCGCGACAAGGTAGTCGAGTGTGTGTGCCTCGAACAGTTCTTTCGTAGCATTCCGCAGTCAGTCAAGCTCTGGGTGCAGGATAGGGTGGGAGTCGACTCTGTCGAGAGGGCCGCTGAGCTAGCCGAAGAGTACGCGACGCGTAGAAAGCTGAGCGGAGAGGAAAGCGAACCCGGCCGGAGCGATCAGCGCAAGCCCTTCCGACAGGGAAACGGCTCGCGAGAAAAAAGGCCCGAGAAGCCAGAAACAGGACAAAAGGTCCCAGAAAAGAGCGGAGATCCCTCGAGCGGAGATCCCTCGAACGGAGACGAGGCACGGAAAAGCCAAAAAGGGCAGTTCGAGGCAAGGAAGCCGTTCCTGTGCTACAACTGTCAGGAGCCGGGACACACAGCGGCCAGGTGTAACAAACCGCGGGTTGTGTTCTCGTACGTGAGCGGTAGTGACAGGGACCTGGAGCTTCTTCGTCCCTATCTTCACGAGCTCCAGGTAAATGGAAAGCCGTGCAGGGTGCTTCGTGACAGTGCAGCGACGATGGACGTTGTTCATCCGTCGTATGTAACGCCATCCGACTTTACTGGAAAGGTAGTTTGGATCAAGCAGCTGCTCGAGAAGCACAGTGTCTGTCTGCCTATGGCGAGAGTAAGGATAACTGGCCCGTTCGGAGAGCTAGTGACAGAGGCGGCTGTCTCGCAAACAGTCCCGTTGGAGTATCCCTATTTGTTTTCTAACCGGTCAGATTTCCTGCTACGCGAAAGGGGTCAACAACTGGGAGAAGGACTCGTTCAGTCGTGTACGAGGGCCAAATCGCGTCAGCTCGCCCCTTTGTTAACGAGTGATCCAGAGCGAAAGACAGCTGACGGGGAGCAAGCACTCCCAGAGTTGGAGGCAGAGAAACGGGATGAAGGGGACCGGGTTGTAGAACAGCCCGACCTCGTAGCACTAGAAAGTGTACGCCGTCCCAACGCGCCGGCGAAAAAGGCGGAGGAAGACGGGATCATCAAAGGATCTCTCGTAGCTCCGGCGTCACGTAACTTTGGTCCTCTGTTACGAGTAGACAGAGCGTCTTTGACAGTCGAGCAGAAGAGCGACCCTAGTGTGTCAGGGTTTCGCGGCACAGCTCAGGAGATTGCCAGGACCAATGTGACGGGGCATGAAAAAGGCGGATTGTTTTATCGGCGCTATAAGGACCGCATTTTCACGTCTAGAAATCACGTGAAAATCGATCACTATGACTTCAGCGTAAGAAAGAGGAAAGGCAAATTTAACAGCAATGCCGATGGGTTGAGCAGATTTTTCTGATATCACCAAAAAGCGTAGGGATGATCTCAGAGGTTTTCGTCATCCACGGGAATGAGGATCTAAGGGGGGGCACTTCGTTAACACCCCAAAATGACCTCACAAATTGCGAAGAGTTTTTGTCTTTTTGTATTTTGTTCATAGTGACCTCTTTGGAAAAATGAGTTTTGCTTTGGCGACAGCGGGTCTCGATGCCCGAAATTGTCCTAAGGTTTTAAATTGCATTGTTTTGGCAAATTTTGGTAATCCGTAATCCAGTCTGGCGGGTCTCTGGCGGATTCCGAGCGTTTGACTGCGGTGTGGCGTGGTGTTGTGGGGGACGTTTCCGCTGATGCCTCCGTTGTGAGAGGTTTGGGAGTTTGCTTAGTGCTTGCAGCATCTTCTCAAGGCCTACTCCAAGCCCACCTCTTCAGGCCAGCGATAGTATCACCGGCCATTCGAGGTTTCCCTGGCCCCGGAGGGGCTGTTAAGAATGGAACCTTCGGCGACCTTCTTCCGAGTTTCAACGCTGCGGAAACGAGTCAAGACGAGTCCGGGACCGTCGCCCGCTTGTCGGGGCCTGCGCGAAACGAGTCCCGACGAGTCCGGGACCGTCGCCTGCGTGACGGGGCCTGCGGCAACAAGTCTCAACGCGCCCGTGACGTTAGCGGGACGTGTGTGTGTGCGTGGTGGTTGGTGCGCTCGGGAAAGGGAGAGAGGCATGGCCTAACTGCGGAGAACTTTGGCTACGTCGCACTGGACGGCGGACTTTGCTGCGTCGCACTTGACGGCGGGTTCCTGCATCGCACTGGCTGCCCTGGCAAGGAGTGAGGGAGAAACGGACCCTATATAAGGCGGAGCGCGAGGCTGCTCCGTTGTTCTCTCTCGGATTTGACGACTGTATCGCTACCATGTAATTAAACCGTTCGTTACGTTACCAATTCTCCCACCTCCACTGGACCCCTGGGTTCTTCACTTCGGGGAATGGACGTCGTCTCGAGCCAGGAAGCTTCCGGACGTGCGGCCTAAACCCCGCCTCGAACAGCCTCGAAATTCCAGTGAGAGGAACGGCGTGCCAGCTGAACACTCGGCAACCTCGCAACGCAGCGACTCAGGAGACGGAGCCAGCCGGCACTTTCAGAGCGCTCTGAAAGTACTGCAGAATGTACTTGGAGCGCCCGACTTAACCTAGCCCAATGCGCAGCGGCTTTCCAGGGTGCTCTAAAATGATGGAAAGCGACCAGTCGAATATGGCACTAGTTCGCCTCCGGTCTGCTTCTTTCACATGCTCATCATAAACTGGACCTAAAGCCATTTTTTAATTGATTATTACATAGCTCCTACTCTATCAAATCGTCTCATATGCTCAGAAAAATTATAATTAGTGACAACTTTGCTCCTACTACACCAAATTATTTCATATTGCCGCATATGTGTGCGGTGGCTGAGTGGGCACTGCACCTGGCTACCACGCAGAGGTCCCGGGTTTGAATCCCGGGACCGGTTGCTGTCTTTTTATTAACTCGTAAAATCCGTCATTCTAGAAAATTCGAGAATGTTCTTGTTTGTTTTAGTGGCGAATGTTCTAGTAGAAATATTCCACAAAGTGAAGCAGCTATAAAAGGAGTCCCGCGTAGCCAGTCAGTCTATCACCCGCGCTTGACTCCGTTGCAGACTGAGATTCGACACCCACCATGTAGTTATTCTCTTTTGTTTTGGGCACAAGTTCGCCCCATTAAACATGCATTTTCCTCGGTTACTTCCTGCCTCGTCACCTAGCTGTCATTCGTGACAATAAGCTCTGCAAAATTGTAACTGGTGAAAACATTGCTCCTGCTTCATATCAACATCAAATGTAAAAACTATTACATACCTCTGCTTGACGTTCCGCGATTTCTGCATTTCTCGCGTTCCCCATTTCTCGCAGCTCTTCATGAAGAAGGCGAACATCGCTCACAGCATTTGCAAGCTCTGAAAAATAAAAAAAAAAGTAAAAAAAAGCAGAACACAAAAATATGCTTAAGCAGCAAGTGACACAAGACTGCTTGGACATGATTTGTTTAGGTGCAGTTTACTGATTCCGTGTATTCATTTCCCTGAAAAAATCTTTAAAACACAAATGAGAGGCACAAATCTTACAGACTTTCTTATTTCATAAACTGATCATCGGGAACAGTGATTCGAGTTCATGGAAGCAATGACCATGCATGCCTGAAGTGGCCACATATCGCTAAAATATTTGAAATCTTTCAACAGAAATGGGGCTTTATGCATCAAAACAACTGATGGTATGATCACTGCTGTGGTGCTTGGAATGCATCTTCAAATGACGCATTGAAAATGGTAAACAAAATGTCACAGGAGCCGGTGTGCCACACTGTTGCGATCCTGGCACTTGTTCGTAAAAGTGCCAGAGAAGAACACAAGTGGAGGGAATTGGCAGCTGAGGCTGTGAGGTTTCTGTTGACCACCATGCTGCAGAGTGAGCTACAGCAGAACAGTTGTCTGCCACACTCATATTTTCTGCTGTTTGACCTACAGGACTACAGCAGGCAACAGTTTGACACGCGCAACGTCATCGAGCACGAATTGAGACATAAATGAGGATGTGGTAAGCACATCATCCGTGATGCGTTTCAGCACCACAGCGATGCCCAAGACCAGAGGTGTGCAAAGTGGGGGTTGCAGTGCGACGACTGGGGGTCCCGGGGCATTAGAAGGCCGACGAGGGGTCGGCAGCTCACCTTCAAATGTTTGACTATCAACTTTGGCAGTCAAGTCTTTTTTGATATGCTGCATGCCACACTTGTTAAAAAAGGTACAAAAGGCCTCAAACCTGTAAAGGTGTTCTCAGTAGTCGACAATGAGAAGTAAAAAGGAGCTCCACTAGATTCCTAACCCTCTAAGAGAATTTTTTTTCTTGAGGAGTGTATGGGAAGCAAGAAATTATTGTGGATCAGGAGATCACACAAGGGCAATGTGGGCAGCTGTCGACTGATTGATGAGATTTTTGTTTAAAATACATTGTAAATGCTTGATGCAGGTGTTGTCGAACAAAGCTCGTGTTAGCATTGTGAGTCCGCAGTGCGAGGCTGCAGCACTGTGCAAGCTATGCTCGCCCTTACAGCGTAGCACAGGAAAGACGGCGTAAAGTATAAATCTTCTAAATCTGGCAGCTTTCCTTTAAATCACCTCTATGTCTCGGCTGTGTGACGCCCATGTCAGCACATGTCTTTGTTTTTAACCATGCAACTTTACAAACAAAAACTGCAACAAGAAAGTTATTTTGCATTCATTAGGGGGTGACAAACTTAAATTACTTTGGTGAGAAATCTATATGTACTGGTTTTGACCCATACATGCTCGGAAACGGCAGAAAGCTTTGACAAAGTGAATACTTGGACCATAAAAAAACCGCCTGCCACAAAAAAAAAAAAAGGAAACGAAAACATAATCTGTTCACAAAGGATGTGCCCTGTATGCCAGAAGCAATCTACTACAGCAAGGGCTGTGATGTCACCTGTGTAGCACTTTGATTTATCTTACAAAAGCAAGTTGCAAAACTGAACAGCTAGCAACATGATATTTCAGGAGAGCTAAATACAACACAAGTGTCAATTAGTAATAAATTCCCCAAGGCATTGTTGCACACCGAAAGATAATTTGCCGGTGAAGAGATTATGTTGAAAAAGGGCAAAGGTAACAGGATCTGTTCGTATTAGATAATGCACACGTGTCCGGTCGACATTTTTGAATGTCTTCATATTTCTCAAAGTCCTTTGTGATATTTTCTTAAAAATTGCAAAGGGGTTTAAAAAAATATATTTCTCGAGAAAAAAAATTTAGACTGCATCAATGCATTAACCCCCTTTTTGCATTTTATAATTTTTGTAAAGTGATAGCACATAACAGACAAAGTACAAACTATAGGAAGCTCAGATATTTTATAAAGATAGTTTATTGTGCCAACATCCACAATTTGTAGAATTCTGGAAAGTAATACCATGTGGAAAAAATTACCAAACCTGGCTTTGACATTTTTGGGATTTATTATTTAGTAGTGTTTTTAAGATATAGCATTGGATGTTTTATAACATATTATTCACATAAGGGTCTATCGTCTGTATATAATTTGTTGGTATAGACATTTTTTGCAAGGGCGCCGCCATCTTGAATTGTTGTCATTCCCAGTATGGGCGAAAACAATGTTTTGCCGTCGCCACGCCAATAGAAGGCATTTAGAACATAAACGTAAGCGTCACACATTCTCGTTTTGCCTCCCCTCTATTTTTTTACTATTTGCAGGTTGAAACTTTTTGATATTTTTTCGTCGCCCATACTGGATATGCCTACTTGGCGGTCGGGGCCGAGAGTAAGCGGAAAAGATCTATAGTTCATGAAAAAAAATATTTACAGCGCTTGAAACATGTAGCAAGGTAAAAATTCCTGCAACTTCAATAGGTAATTGAAGCATTCTACACCATATTGCCATTTCTTCCTTTAAAAACATGTTGCATTATTTTGTCTGCATCAAAGATACTGTGCTTCAAAATGTACATTAAAAACAGACATTTTTGTCGCAGTCTGCGGCCTCCATTGCTCTTACAATTTATAAAGTTCTTGTATTAGTCCTTATTTAAATTTGCGCCAAGTGCATATTTTAGATATCTGGCACTATAAACATATCTATTAAGTGCTCTATAGACCCCCCGCATGACTTCAAAGCATCAACATGCATTCGTCCTGTTCGGTTCCCACCCCGACAGCGTCAACGGAGGTTTCGTGCTGGTGATTTGCTTTTTGGTTAAAAGTGACGCATACTTAAATGTAAACGTTTTCGACGGACATTCGTCTGGTTAGGAATGATTTAAAAAACTTTAACTTGAAACTTTAACCAAGCTTTATTAAAAGCAAAAATCCCAACGTTTCGGGACCAACTCGGTCCCTTGACTGTTTTGGTCCCGCGAAACATCCTGCCCACGAACCCGAACACCCCCGGGTACTCTCCGGATTATCCCTCTTAAAGGGCAACTCCGGCCGAAAACCCAAAATGAAATAAATTACTGCTGTCGTTGTAGTGACACAAAATACGAAGCCAGCCAAAATATTGCGTCAGGGGACGCCGCATTCTCAACTAATGCCGATAATAAAAATGCGACCCGCTGCTCCTTAGCGGGCGGCCAGCGCGTTGCCGATCGCTAAAGCAACATTGAGCCGTGACGTCAGGATCGTTCTCTTTTTTTCCTCCGGTCCGAACGGGTGCAGCCGTTGTGCGGTCGAGCAGTGTAAAATGCGCTTCTTCGAGGGAAAGAAGGGAAAGAAAATGTTCTTCCACCTTGCCAACGTTCTGTTTTCCTCTATCACCCGCGAAAACATTTGCTAGCTTATGAGAAGAAAATGTCTGCTTATAGAACTTTCTTTTTTTTTTCTTTAATGCGGCAAGTTTTTTTCTGGTTTTTTTTGGCATTTTTACAACTTAGATTTACCACCTAGACGAACTTGTGTGGTAAATTAGTGTTGTACTTTACAAATTCGGCCTTTACGCGCCTGAGGAAAAAAGAACTAAAAAAGAGACGTGTACAGCCTAGCACACGTGTGTTCGGGAGCCGCGGCCCGTGCTGGAGAGCCTCAAAGCTTCGTGTCTGGGACTGATTCGCAGCGTGAAAACGAGAGGGCCCCCAGTACTGTATGTCACTGGCAGCGCGGCATAGAGCAACGGCGCTTTATCCACGGAGCTCTGATAACAATTTAGGCCTAGTGACGAGTACTGCAGACCGCACACACGGCGACAGCCGCCGAGTACGGCACCGAACGAATTCACTCGTCACAGTCGCGAGCTTTTGAGTATACAAGCGACGAGTACGGCAGAGCGCACATACGGCGATGGCCGCCGAGTACGGCACCGAACGAGTTCACAGGTTTTCCAGTTGCTAGCTTTTGGGTATACGCACTAACTCTTGCTACATATGCTGGATAACTACCACATATACAGAATTAAAACAAAATCAGCTTACCTTTTATGTTAAGACGGCTAACGCGACAGAGGTAGGTGCCGCTCGGCGTGCGTACCCGTTGAACGAGAACGACCCTGACGTCACGTCCACATAGCGGCTAACTTCCAGTGTTGCCGGTGCCTTGCGCGGCTAGTTTCGGTTTTGTCGGCCGCACCCCAAACAAAACTTGGAGGCGTCAATATCTTTAAAACTATGCACAATAAAGCGAAAAAAAATTACACCTTGCAATTCAGGGACGCTGACTGCGCTAAAAAAGTCATAGTCCCAAAATCGAAAGTATGGACCGGAGTTGCTTTTTAAGGAATCCAAAACTCTAATAGTTTGTGAAAAGTATTTCGAGTTTTTATATTGTCACGGGTGGTGACCAAAAAACAATAACTAAACAGGAGGAAATAAACGTTTAATGTGGCAAACTTGTGCCAAAAATAAAAGGGGTACAAAAGATAATAACAGAGCGTCGCGGGCGTCGAAGTCGGCGTAGCTGCAGAGTCGAACGCTGGGGCGAGACTGACTGCAGATCGTCACGCGGAGCCCCTTATGTACACGTGTGGGCTTCTGGAATGATCGGCGTAGAAGGTTCGGCGTGTAGAACATTCTGACCTTGAATCAGCAAGACGGTTCTCGATTCACCAGAACATCAAATTACACTGTCAACAAAAATATGTAGCCACGGCCAGGAATCGAACCCCGGCCTTCTGCGTGGGAGGCAAGCGTGATAACCGTTAGGCCACGCGCGCGCTGCCTACTTGGCCAGCTGCGCGTGCGGCAATATGACAGAAAATGATTGGTTTGGAAAAACTTTGTAATGTAGAAAGTGTTCTCTTTTCCCAGGTTCAACCCTTGTTTCCTGGGGCTGAGGTGACACACGAGGAGAGCCTTCTCTTGCTCATGGCTCACGTTTTGCGTCACCACAACACAGAAGAGGCAACGGAGAGCCTCTTAACTATGCTACAGCTCCACCTCCCTCAAGGCAGCCAAGTTCTTGATTGATTGATTGATTTTGGGTTTTAATGGCACAGCGGCTGCTAAGGCCATAGTGCGCCAGAACAATGGTAGAGGAAAAAACTGCGGTGCTATTTAGTTAAAGGTGAGGCATGATATGGGGAGAGTTTAAAATCGTTCATGAAATGCAGACAGTACAAAGAAAATCCACTAACTTAAATGTGCTGTAATAAGCCAATGCTGTTTAGGAAGTTAAAAACTTGGTTATGAGGAACAAGAGGCTCCTCTCCCAGCAAAAGCGCTGGGTGGAATGGGATCTGTTCTCTAAAAAACCATGAAAAGTTGGTGCGACGCTCCTCATGATATTTCGGACATTGAATGAGAATGTGCAAGACGGAGAGTGTTTCACCACATTTTTCACACATCGGAGCATCCTCTGCTCGCAGAAGGAAGCCATGTGTGAGTCGAGTGTGACCAATTCTCAGGCAACAGAGAACAACTTCATAAAAACGCTCGTTATGTCGGCAACTGGCCCGCTCAGAAAGAACAGGTTTCACGCAATGGAGTTTATTTTAAACTTCAGTGTCCCATTCCTCCTGCCATTTCTTTTTAATCGGCTTTTTCAATGATGACCTGTAATCCAGGTATGGGATGCAGGTAACCTCTGTGTCCATGTCCTGACATGTTCTAGCGGCCTTATCGGCCTCCTCATTTCGACTATACCTGTTGTAGCCGCGAGCGACGAGGCAGAGCCAGAGTGACGACCAACGTAGACGGTTTATTCAGCACGCCAGTGCGTAACCAAAAAAACACGGAGCAAACGGCTCCCAGCGCTTATATAGAGATAAGCGACGCACTATCAATGTGACGTCATACGCGATGCGCTTCGCAAGATACTACACTCCTCCCCAGAAATTTTGTTTACACAATGTTAGGGCGTGTACTAATCGGGAGGTTTTCTTGCACGAGCACTGCGTCGAAGAGTCTGTGCCCCTTGAGGAGAGGCCGGTTCTCGGAGAGTGGACTGCGGTGCGGAACCTTGGCGGGGACTTGCATTCCGCTGACCCAAGGGGGCTGAGTCTTCGGGTGGCTCTGGCGGTGCTGCAGCCGCTTTCGGAGACTCCAATGCAGGAAGAGGAGGACTCGTAGCAGACGCCTCCGGCACACGGTCTGGAATCGAACTGGGTACCACACATGAAGGCTTCCCGGACCCTTGTTCGTCACTTTCAAAATAACGAGGACGTAAATTTTCTGCATGCACAAACCTGGTCCCGCGTCCCACACACACAATGTACGTAACGGCACTGCACCTTTTCTCGATGACCCCAGGTAGCCACTTTGCCTCCCCCGGACGAAGGCCTTGAACTATTACTCTTTCGCCCTCTTCGAATGACCTCCACGGCCCTCTTCTGTCGTCAGCTTGGCTCTTGATCTTGGAGAAACGATCTGCTATACGTCTCTCCAGATCTGGCTGTAGCAGGGTCAGGCGGGTGCGGGGCTTCCACGACAGGAACAGTTCAGCAGGCGTTTGCCCCGTTGTCGTGGTGGGGGTGTTCCGGTACCTGAATAGAAACTGGTCTATACGGTGTTGTAGGGTCTTCCTGACGCCCAAAGAGTTTTCGTCGAGAAGCTGTCGCAGAAGATCCCGTTTGACCGTCTGGACGCATCTCTCGGCACTTCCATTTGATGCCGGATGGTACGGAGGTGTCCTGGTATGACGCACTCCGTTCCTGAGCAGAAACTCTGTGAAGTTC